CCAAGCCCCCTGCTACGGGCAGGGACAACTTTCACTACGTCAGGTTGCTCAGAGCCCCGTTCAGCCTGACCTTGAACGCCTCCAAGGATTGGGCATCCACAACTTCTCTGGGAAACCTGTTCCAGTGTCTCACCACCCTCATCATAAAAAATTTCTTCCTTATGCCCAGTCCAAACCTACCCTCTTCCAGTTTAAAACCGTTGCCCCTTGTCCTGTAACTACAGGTCTTGGTAAAAAGTCTCTCTCTGTCTTTCTTATAAGCCCCCTTTAAGTACTGAAGGGCCGCAATAAGGTCTCTCCGGAGCCTTCTCTTCTCCCCGCTGAACAACCCCAACTCTCTCAGCCGCGCTTCACAGGGGAGGTGTTCTAGCCCTGTGATCATTTTTGTGGCCTTCCTCTGGACCCGCTCCAACAGGTCCATGTCTTTCTTCTACTGGGGACCCCAGAGCTGGATGTAGTACTCCAGGTGGGGTCTCATGAGAGTAGAGTGGGTCCTGTACTGAGCTCTCTGTTTAGGAGGGAGAGTGCACAACATGTATTCTGGTTCTCGGCTGCATTCCTTTGATTATCGGGAACATTAGGGGTTTTTTCATCCTCGTGCCTCTGCCCAGCTTAGACAGATACTGAAGCAGATATGGGAAGTCATGCTTTTGCTGCTGTTGGAGCTCGTCCTTCAGCTGCAGAGAATGCACTCAGCGGGACCCGTGGTGTGCAATGGGAGTGGGGCTTGGTTTTGTGGCACTGTCATTTCAGGCGCTGTTTGGGCGCAGCTGTGCAGACTTTCTTCCCTTTCTTCTCTTGCGTTGCCCCTGTGGCCATTGCTGCCACTCACCTGCAGTTCTGGCTGTAGGAAGCTTTGGAGGTTTTCCCTGGCAGGGTCTGGGGAAAGGCTTCAGACCACGGGTTGCCCCTTGCCATGGGCCAAAGGTCTGGGCAGCTGGGTTCTCCCAGTATTCCCATGAGCGTTGTTCTCCAGCTTACCCTGCACTGCTGGGAAGCAAGCCGATGTTTTGGCAGCAGTGTGAGACCCCCTAACATCCCAGTGAATCTCCCTCTCTGACAGTACACCATTTTTTCCTCTCTTTCCTTCTGAACATGAAGGAGTTTGCCTGTCCTTACCCTAATTTGAATTAATTTTATTTGAAGGATTGTCCTTGTGGACTGTGTGGACAGAAGCAGCATATCTTTCTTCCTCCTGTCCTCCGGCATTATGACTGCACTCTTATTGCAATGCTTCTCCATCTACCATATGTCTCTTACATCATGCTGCAACAGCACAAACAGGTGGCTCTGAGGCTGGCCTCTGAGTGTCATGAACAATTTATAAAATGCTAATCAAAAACTATTTTAAAGGAAGCTGCACTAGGGCCCATAATGAAAACTGGCTTGGTCATGTGAGAAGGAAAAAGCAGAAAAGTGAATTTGGGATTCCTAGCATGCCAAAATAGCCTGTGGGTGAGTAGTCTTAAAGGCCTGGGAGTTAGGTATGGAATACAGATTGCTCCAGCAACTGCTCAATTTCAGTAGAATCAAATGACTCTGAGCATAATCAATGCTGGTATGAACATGCCACATGAAGTAGCACAGGGAACCGTGGTGTATCCATAGAATATACCATGACAGCAATACAGAATCAACCGAAGAGTTCACTGATCAACTCAATGAATTCCCCTGGATTTAGGACCGCTGAAATCTTCTCTGCAGTATAAAGTTTTAAGACTACAGACAGCTGTTCCATCCAACAATGATCATTGATAAAGTGTTTACATCAGTGTCTCCCATGCAAGATGTAGGACATTTTAAAAATAATTCCTCTGTTATGCAAAAGCCATTAATAAGTGTTTCTGCTTTATTCCCACCTAATACTCTATGCTTAGGTTTGTAAAAGTTCATTGCTTATCAGACAATGAAATGAAGTTAATTTACCTACTTAAAATAAAATACTGTGTTTTCTCCTTGTATTAAAGAGAGTACACCACCTGCATCAGGAATACCGACAAAGACAAGTACTACAGTTATTCCTTCAGCTACCCCACTGCAAACAACTAGAACGACGGAAATACAAAGTACAGTGTCTACCATGGGCACCACTATTCAACAGTCAACACCATCCGTATCAACAAGCCCAGTGGCATCCACCACCTCTGGAGGCACTGAAACAGAATCGACCCCCAAGACCACCACTTCGGGCCCCACCTCCGCAGGACCCCCTCCCCAGAGCACCACAATCCTAACGGAAACCCCTAGCCATGAGACCACTACCACCACAACTGGGAGCCCTCCGACACAATCTCCTACCACCACCGTCAGCACCACAAGCTCAGGACCATCCTCCCCAGAGCCTACAGCCAGCACTACCGTATCACTGCCATCGTTATCAACAAGCCCAGTGGCATCCACCACCTCTGGAGGCACTGAAACAGAATCGACCCCCAAGACCACCACCTCGGGCCCCACCTCCTCAGGACCCCCTCCACAGAGCACCACAATACTAACGGAAACCCCTAGCCATGAGACCACTACCACCACAACTGGGAGCCCTCCGACACGATCTCCTACCACCACCGTCAGCACCACAAGCTCAGGACCATCCTCCCCAGAGCCTACAGCCAACACTACTGTATCACTGCCATCGTTATCAACAAGCCCAGTGGCATCCACCACCTCTGGAGGCACTGAAACAGAATCGACCCCCAAGACCACCACTTCGGGCCCCTCCTCCTCAGGACCCCCTCCCCAGAGCACCACAATCCTAACGGAAACCCCTAGCCATGAGACCACTACCACCACAACTGGGAGCCCTCCGACACAATCTCCTACCACCACCGTCAGCACCACAAGCTCAGGACCATCCTCCCCAGAGCCTACAGCCAGCACTACTGGATCACTGCCATCGGTATCAACAAGCCCAGTGGCATCCACCACCTCTGGAGTCACTGAAAAAGGATCGACCACCAAGACCCCCACTTCGGGCCCCACCTCCGCAGGACCCCCTCCCCAGAGCACCACAATCCTAACGGAAACCCCTAGCCATGAGACCACTACCACCACAACTGGGAGCCCTCCGACACGATCTCCTACCACCACCGTCAGCACCACAAGCTCAGGACCATCCTCCCCAGAGCCTACAGCCAACACTACTGTATCACTGCCATCGGTATCAACAAGCCCAGTGGCATCCACCACCTCTGGAGTCACTGAAACAGGATCGACCACCAAGACCCCCACTTCGGGCCCCACCTCCTCAGGACCCCCTCCACAGAGCACCACAATAGTAACGGAAACACCTAGCCATGAGACCACTACCACCACAACTGGGAGCCCTCCGACACGATCTCCTACCACCACCGTCAGCACCACAAGCTCAGGACCATCCTCCCCAGAGCCTACAGCCAGCACTACCGTATCACTGCCATCGTTATCAACAAGCCCAGTGGCATCCACCACCTCTGGAGTCACTGAAACAGGATCGACCACCAAGACCACCACTTCGGGCCCCACCTCCGCAGGACCCCCTCCCCAGAGCACCACAATAGTAACGGAAACACCTAGCCATGAGACCACTACCACCACAACTGGGAGCCCTCCGACACGATCTCCTACCACCACCGTCAGCACCACAAGCTCAGGACCATCCTCCCCAGAGCCTACAGCCAACACTACTGTATCACTGCCATCGTTATCAACAAGCCCAGTGGCATCCACCACCTCTGGAGGCACTGAAACAGAATCGACCCCCAAGACCACCACTTCGGGCCCCTCCTCCTCAGGACCCCCTCCACAGAGCACCACAATAGTAACGGAAACACCTAGCCATGAGACCACTACCACCACAACTGGGAGCCCTCCGACACAATCTCCTACCACCACCGTCAGCACCACAAGCTCAGGACCATCCTCCCCAGAGCCTACAGCCAGCACTACCGTATCACTGCCATCGGTATCAACAAGCCCAGTGGCATCCACCACCTCTGGAGGCACTGAAACAGAATCGACCCCCAAGACCACCACTTCGGGCCCCACCTCCGCAGGACCCCCTCCCCAGAGCACCACAATCCTAACGGAAACCCCTAGCCATGAGACCACTACCACCACAACTGGGAGCCCTCCGACACAATCTCCTACCACCACCGTCAGCACCACAAGCTCAGGACCATCCTCCCCAGAGCCTACAGCCAACACTACTGTATCACTGCCATCGGTATCAACAAGCCCAGTGGCATCCACCACCTCTGGAGTCACTGAAAAAGGGTCGACCACCAAGACCCCCACTTCGGGCCCCACCTCCTCAGGACCCCCTCCCCAGAGCACCACAATCCTAACGGAAACCCCTAGCCATGAGACCACTACCACCACAACTGGGAGCCCTCCGACACGATCTCCTACCACCACCGTCAGCACCACAAGCTCAGGACCATCCTCCCCAGAGCCTACAGCCAGCACTACTGTATCTCTGCCACTGAAACAGGATCGACCACCAAGACCCCCACTTCGGGCCCCACCTCCTCAGGACCCCCTCCCCAGAGCACCACAATCCTAACGGAAACCCCTAGCCATGAGACCACTACCACCACAACTGGGAGCCCTCCGACACAATCTCCTACCACCACCGTCAGCACCACAAGCTCAGGACCATCCTCCCCAGAGCCTACAGCCAGCACTACTGTATCTCTGCCACTGAAACAGGATCGACCACCAAGACCACCACTTCGGGCCCCACCTCCGCAGGACCCCCTCCCCAGAGCACCACAATCCTAACGGAAACCCCTAGCCATGAGACCACTACCACCACAACTGGGAGCCCTCCGACACAATCTCCTACCACCACCGTCAGCACCACAAGCTCAGGACCATCCTCCCCAGAGCCTACAGCCAGCACTACCGTATCACTGCCATCGTTATCAACAAGCCCAGTGGCATCCACCACCTCTGGAGTCACTGAAAAAGGGTCGACCACCAAGACCACCACTTCGGGCCCCACCTCCTCAGGACCCCCTCCCCAGAGCACCACAATACTAACGGAAACCCCTAGCCATGAGACCACTACCACCACAACTGGGAGCCCTCCGACACGATCTCCTACCACCACCGTCAGCACCACAAGCTCAGGACCATCCTCCCCAGAGCCTACAGCCAGCACTACTGTATGACTGCCATCGGTATCAACAAGCCCAGTGGCATCCACCACCTCTGGAGTCACTGAAAAAGGGTCGACCACCAAGACCACCACTTCGGGCCCCTCCTCCTCAGGACCCCCTCCCCAGAGCACCACAATACTAACGGAAACAGGTAGCTCAATGACAACAACTGCAACTCGCACTACTCCAACAAGACCAAGTGCCAGCACCACCATGACTTCAGGACCATCCTCCCCAGAGCCTACAGCCAGCACTACTGTATCTCTGCCATCAGCATCAACCAGTCCCATGTCAGTCACCACTTCTGGTACAACTCCAACAGAATCTTTTACCACCACTTCAGGAACAACCTCTAGTAATTTTACCACAGTCACTGCAACCACCACCACCACCACCTCCGGAATTGTTTCCTCTGGCTCAACTAGTACTTCTTGGCCAACTGCAACATCAAGTGCAGTCACCATTCCAGGAAGTTCTATGTACAGTACAGTTACTCCACTCAGTGCTTCAGGTTCAACTACAAGTCTACCACCAACGACTCCTGGAAGGAATTGTTCTATTTTACCTAATGAATCTCATGTGGTAAGTAGATTTCATGAGGTTTTTAACATTGTTCTTTGGATGGATACTAGGCACATAATTTCAATGTTAGTAACATACAGAGTATGTATTAATCTGGATAGAAAAGGAATTATCATTCCATTCTATTTCTTTCTGTTTTCTTGGGTATCAGCCTGACTTCCAATGATATTTAATTTTATAGCTTATATGCTGCTATTAGTGCTTCAAGGATAGTTTTAAAAAGGCTTTCTTCAAGGAGTTAAATCACAGCATTGTAGGAAAGCTTTGATGAAGAGGTAACCAAGGGCTAAGTGGTGCTAAACTATCTTTTTCTGTTTCTGCTTTTGAATAGGTCCAGAGTGGGCAAAAGTTGTTTGTGTGTTTACAGTGCAGCCCAACAAGAAACCACAGGGCTGACCTAGTCTGAGTTTGGAATGAGTCATACTTGGTCATAGTCCTGTTTCGGAAGAGGACTGTGAAACAGGTCACCACATTCAAATGCTCATGAAATTTGACTCAGAGTTCTGAGTTTTTCAGAACCCTCCACCTCTGACACAGACAAGCTAATGTCTTGTACCTTTCTAAAGCCTCCTCACAGCTTAGATGTCTACCAACTTGCTCTGTAGATCTGCAGGGATAAAAATTATACATGGCTGAAAAACTGGTGGAAGATAGAAAAAATGCATACAATCACAATGCATTCATGCAATCACCTTAGACATTACTCCCCATATATCTGGTGTTCACTGTAGCTTTAGCTGTTAATCTGTTCTAGGCATTCATGGAAGGGGATTGATCATATATTGATCAATTATATTGATCAGTGTCTTTCACTGTTGATTAGAGAGGGAGTCTGGGTGATGAGGTAAGATCTGACATCTAACTTTTAGATAGCTGAAACTAAAAAAGGCAATTCACACTTCAGGTTATGGGCTTGTGTCCTGGTTTCGGCAGGGATAGAGTTAATTTCCTTCCTAGTAGCTGGCACAGTGCTGTGTTTTGGATTTAGGATGAGAACAAAGTTGATAATGCACGCATGTTTTAGTTGTTGCTAGGTAATGCTTACACTAGCCAAGGACTTTTTAGTTTCCCATGCTCTACCAACTGAGAAGGCTGGAGGTGCACAAGAAGCTGGGAGGGGGCACAGCGAAACTGACCAAAGAAACATTCCATACCATGTGACGTCATGCTCAGTACATAAACTGGGGAAAGCTGGCCGGGGGGGCCACTGCTCAGGGACTGGGTGGGCATCAGTCAGCGGGTGGTGAGCAATTGTACTGTGCATCACTTGCTTTGTGTATTATTATTATTATTATTATTATTATTATTACTATTATTATTATATTTCAATTATTAAACTGTTTTTATCTCAACCCACAAGTTTTTCTCACTTGTGCTCTTCCAATTCTCTCCCCCATCCCACCGGGGGGGGGAGTGAGCGAACGGCTGTGTGGTGCTCAGTTGCCAACTGAGGTTAAACCACGACAGCTTGACTTTTATAAATAATGCTTTTCACCTAGCAGCTCTCAGTAGTGCTAGCTCATCTTGCAGGCCTTGATGGTGCTGACTGCTGCACTTCCTTCCCATTTTCGGACTTCTGGTGGGGAAAAAATTGTCAATAAACATATGGTGTTTTAAAACTCTGTAAAAGTTATTTAGGCATAACTGTTGGCAGTCTGACTGTTCATAAGGTTTCTCTCTCTCTTCCCCCCCCCCTCTTTCTAAACACAGCCAGGTGAGTCATGGTGGCTCTGTAACTGCACTAAGGCAATATGTATAGAAGACAATATAATCCAGGTGGTTCCCATAATCTGTAATCCACCTCCTAAACCTACATGTGCCAATGGGCTTTCTCCTGTGCAAGTCATTGATGAGGATGGATGCTGTTGGCACTGGGAGTGTGATTGTAAGTATATATTTTGTTGAATAATTTATCTCCTGTGGGAACAATACTAGTGACAAGGGCAAAAATATTTATCAGGGGACAAGTATCACACAAGGCTGTGACCCTCAGATTTCTAGTGTTGGTTTGTTTGGAGTGCTTCATTGATTCTTTTTAGCTAATCAGGGGCTTTTACTTAATTTGCCATCATTTCTACATAACTATTGTGTTAGTAGAATAAATTGGTCTCCCAAGGCAGGATTTAAATGTCCAGATGCAGACTTCTATAGGCTAGAAGCCTACATATAAGTTACTTGTTCAGACTATCGGTAAAGGTATAACTATGGTGCAGTCAATCCTATTCTCAGTTGTCTACCAGAAATAAGTCAGATGAACTGTGCCCTGAAAGTGCTTGTTTTTCTCTATTATTGATAAGTTCTAGATAAGAAGCTCACGCATTGACATATACACTTTAAAAATTTAAATGCTTAAAGTTAGATGAGGTGAATCCCACATTTACAGATTTTGTTTATAGTCTGATCTGATTCTGTATATTGCCATAAGAAGCTAACCTAGCTGTATGTTTTTGTAGGCTACTGCACTGGCTGGGGAGACCCACATTACATGACTTTTGATGGACTGTACTACAGCTATCAAGGGAATTGTACATACGTCCTTGTGGAAGAGATTTATAAGAAAGTTGACAACTTCGGTGTCTACATTGATAACTACCATTGTGATACACGGGATGTAGTCTCCTGTCCTCGAACGCTCATTGTGAGACACGAGACTCAGGAAGTGCGCATAGCAACAGTCAAACCAAATACTCTACAAGTAAAGGTATTGGAGAATGTTACCTTTGATTTCTTGATTAAAATATTAATACAACATTAACCTGATAATTGTATTCACAATGTTAGGAAAAAAAATTAAAAAGAAATCTGTGTTTTAGATTTAATACCAGTTTGGATTATAAAATAGGACTACTTTGAAGGGCTACTTTTTTGACTCTGAATATAAATTTCTACAGCTTCTTCCCTTTTTATCTCAAATATTTGCAGTGCCTTATCTCTTCTAAATACACAAACGTGGACAAATTGCTAAGAGTTAAGGATATAAAATAAATTCATTTATAATTAATATTAATGTAACAAAGGAAAAGAATAAATGTTGAATGGGAGGATACAACATAAAATAGACATAACAATAAAGTACTGGGCTTAAGCATTTTTAAAAAGTACCATTACTAGCTTTGATTGGTGTCACCTTTTTAATTTTTCAGAATAGGGGCTCTTACGTGTTTATTTCATTGATAAATATGATGCCCCAGCTTTGGGGCTTCAAAATTGGGTGAGAAGTGTTTGGTTTTGGGCTTTTGTGGGGTTTGTTTGGATTATTTTTGTACATTATTTTGTGGGAATATTAGAAGTTATGTCGCAGCATATTGTTGAAAATTTGCAACATTTAGACCTCTTTTTTTTTTCTCCAAAGCAGGGAAATCTACCATTGCTGAGTAAAAGTAGTAGTGTTAGTTCCATAGGTATATCATGGCTACTGTATTTAAATAAATAATAAAGATTTTGGCTTATTTCTTTCATTTAATTTTCCTACAAGCATGTTCCCTTTATGCCAAGAAAGCCAAAACTGTGTGCACTAAGAATTTGGGAGAATTTTATATTGCAGTTTCACGGGGTGTCCTCAGTGCCATAGTCACTCTAATAAATCTCTTGAGTGTTAGAATTTAGCTGGTTTAAACTCTGAATTTTAGCCTAGTTTATCAGTGGCTGATAGGCCTTTTCTTTGGCTCAGAAAAGAAAAGTTTGACTTTCCAGTAACATAAAAGGAAACTCAGGGATACTTGTTACAAAATAAAACCACATTATTTGCATTTACATTCTATCTCCAATACCAAGTAATGAATAGTCAATTATTTTCTGAAGTCAAACTAAATATTCTCTATAATTCTCTGTAATAATCTCTTTTCTGTTTTCTTTTATTTATTAGGTGACAGTAAACAAACAGGCAGTGGCTTTGCCTTATAAAAAATTTGGCTTGAGCATCTATGAGTCAGGCATAAATCGTGTAGTGGAAATTCCTGAACTAAAAATGAATGTGACTTACAATGGCTTGTCCTTTTCTATCAGAATGCCCTACAGACTGTTTGGCAACAACACTCATGGACAGTGTGGTAAGGCTTACTCTAGTAATTTTTGTACTCTCAGAAAACCACAAACAGGTAAATGACAGCCCTGTCACAAAGATGAATGGAATTTGATAACAAATCTGTGAGTAAATTCTTTCTCCCCTTGCCAATTTTAGGTACTTGCAATAACAACACGGCAGATGACTGCATGTTGCCGAATGGTAACATTGCAGAAAACTGTGAAACCATGGCAGATCATTGGCAAGTTGTTGATCCCTCCAAACCACAGTGCTCTCCAGGCCTAATTCCTACAAAAGCACCTAGCACAACCCCGATGCAGCCTTGCAAAGAATCTTCCATCTGCAAGCTTCTTTTGGGAAGGTAGGTATTCCTCTGGGGTTTATAAGCCTTTGATCTTCAAATTAAGTGGCAATTTTAGGATTCATTTCTCAATAAAATGTGTTTCTAACTATTGCTCCATTCCTTGTAGCTTTTGTGGGTTGCTTCCATTCCTTTTACTGTTTCTAGATGTCATTCTTTGCTGATAGTTTGCTTCCAACCCTCTGGCTGCTACATTAACCTTTCTTGATGTTTGCTTGCTCTTCTATGCTCTCTGCCCTCCACTGTCCTATGCTTTCGCCTTTTCCCACACTCACTTAGCAGAAAACAGAATAACTAATAATGATAAATGTTTATGTTTCTAGTCTGTTCGAGCCATGCCATGGCTTTGTCCGGCCTGAAAAGTACTATGCAGCCTGTGTTTTTGATAGCTGTGTAGTTCCCAACTTAGACCTGGAATGCTCAAGTCTGCAGGTCTATGCTGCCACCTGTGCTGATCAAAGTGTATGCATTGACTGGAGAAGTCATACCAATGGTGTTTGCTGTAAGTATTTGGCCATTTATCCTGAACTATTAGGGAAGCTTATATGGAACTGTTTTGGCAATAATGTCCTGATAGTAAATCATATTGCTTTCTGAGCAATGAAGACACCAATAAATCACACCAGTTTCTTTCCTTAAGCCATTTTACAGGTAACATTTTTAACAATGGAAATGATAAATGAGCCTGCAAAAATATACATCTATTGACTGTGCCAGAAACATCTGTACCAGTACTTTTTGTACACAGGCAGTTTTGTGTTTTGCAGACATCAGCAGATCACTCTGTATTTAGTGACATATGCATTCATTTTCAGCTGTAGTAAGAAGAGGGCAGAGGGCAGGAATACACTCCTCTTTGAGAACTTGTGCAAAAGAGACCGAAATTATGAAAAAAATTGTAATCAAGATGTAGACTCTTGGCTTTATCTCCTTAATGTAAAGTATGGTGCTATATCTCTACAGCTAAATTGCATAAAATAATTCCATTCAGACACATGAGTCTGATATCTGTGTTTTTTTTTTTCTCTTTGCTTCTCAAGATTGTCAAAGATACATAGGAAAATGAATAGTCAGTGTTTAATTTCTTGGCATAAGGTCTTGGGGCTTTTCTGTGATATTGTTACTGAGCTCTTCCTCCTTCTTATTCTCCCATTCCAGCTTATAAATGCCCCTCAGATAAAGAATACAGAGCATGTGGTCCTATTAAAGAGATAACCTGCAAATCAAGGTAAATAATTCCTTCACTGTTAGTTATAGTTCATACAACTGTTCGGTCATATCTAATGCATAGGTGGATGAGAGAAATCAACCTCCTGTCATGTCTTAAACTGACTGTCAAATTTGGTACCACTGTTCTCTTGATCCTAAATCTGGGTGCCTGTACTGTTTATGTTGTTTGGCTATAGCAAACATAAACATTGTCAATCCCTAAAATGCAAATGTGCAGATCATTTGCCACTGTATCTTCAGTGAAAGGTTATTTGGCATAATCTTCCTCTGTGTGCCTATGACAGTAATGGTGTTCCTCTGAACATTTTGTCTCATACAGTCAACAAAATGAAACTTCAACTAAACAAATGGAAGGCTGTTTCTGTCCTAATGGAACAATGCTGTATGACTCTGGTGTGGATGTCTGTGTGAAAACTTGTGGTGAGTTTTACTGCTTCACTCGAATGCATGTTTGTTTCCTCTTTGTTGTCTCCTTCTCATGTGTGCAACATAGATCTGACTGTATGCAATACTCATACAACATATAGTAGAGATGTCTACCATTATATGAGTGGTAATGGAAATTTAATTTGATATTTTCACAGGCTGTCTTGGATTGGATAAGATACCAAGAGAGGTATGCTGCCATGTGCTTTTGTATTTCAAGCAGAGGCTCGGGTTGGGGAGAGGAGAGTGGTCTCCACTGGTGCAGTCTTGTTTTGTGGTCTCCCAACTTTTCATTCCTGTTTTTACTTCTGTTCTTTTCAATTGGCAACCATGCAATCACTCACTTTATTTTCTTTAATGACAGTTTGGGGAAAAGTTTACAGTAGACTGTCAGGACTGTATTTGCCTGGAAGGTGGAAATGGCATTGTATGTGAGCCTCATGAATGTGCCAAACAAAATAAGACCAGTTGTGATGGAGAAGGCTTCTATGAGGTCAATGAAGTTAATTCTGAAGACTCCTGCTGCCCCATTGTCACCTGCAGTGAGTTTATACTTTTGTTTCTAGTCTTTTTATACCTTTTAAGAATAGAAAGGAAAAGAGAACTGAACTAGTTTAGCACCAGAGACCTGCAGCAGCGAGTCACAAAATAGTATCTTTCCTCATGCTTTTTAAAATCAGCTTGCCCAGTGTTAGGGAAAATACATTTTAATATTGCAATGATTCAACATAACTGAATTTACAATTATGGGACTCAATGTAACTGAATCTATTGTTCTTGAGTTCAGGACCACATTTTATTCAAGTAAAATGCAGATAGATTATGGAATTCTATGTGGGTTTTCATTTTGCGGCAGTTGCCTACAACCTTGGAGAGAGTAACAGTTGTCCCCTACTTCTCTGCAAAAAACTGTAATACTTTTTTAACACTTGGTAATTACATAGTAGAAAAAGTTTCACAAACTAGTGCAGCCCCCCAATCCAGTCCCTGGATTCACTAGGAAATATGTGTTCTCTTTCTGCAATTCATTTCTTTGGAGAGGATCTGGACTGTTTCCTAGCAATGGAAAGTCTATCCTAAATGCTTTGATAGATGCCTATTTCTAGTAGCCGTGATTTAGTGTACTTTCTGGCTTATTCCTTTTTTTTTCAGAATGCAATACAAGCCTGTGCACAACTAAAGTCCCCAAGTGTACAGTGGGATTTGAAGTTCATTCTCATATTCCCAGTGGTCAGTGCTGTCCTGTGTACCAGTGTGGTAAGTCCCTTGGAAATCTATTACAATGATTAGCATTATATATTACACAATTTAGCATCACACTTAGTAAGACTGTATGCAATAACCTATTGAAAGAGATAATGAACACAGTCAGATTCTACAAAGTGGTTACTATTAACATTGGTTACTACTGCCATGCTTATGATGAACAACTACAAAATCAGATATAGCTCAGGTGGCTCAGGTTCAATTTTCCTGGTTGTAAGTACGTGCAAGAACAGCTACAGAATTAACTGGGACTGTGGCCTCAGCTTAATTTAGCAAAATGTCCCTGTAAGAATCCCCAGTAGAAGATAGCTTTACAAAGTCTGCTTTGTTCTTGGTAATTGAAACAAGGAACTACTTGTACCCATTAAGTGGACATTCTTGGCTATGAACTGGACTGCCTATGTTGGACCAAATCTTCCTCCCTTTTTGCACACGCAGTTTTTGTTCTTATACTTTATATATGTCATATCTGCTACCCGAAATGGGGAATAACCAATGTATTTGACCATATGCATTGTGATTCATTGTGGAAAAAATGAGTTTGACTAGAGTGGGGTGAAGACCTTTTTTTTTTTCACCTTATGTAACCACCTAACTACTTTCTTGTTAACAGTTCCCAAGAGGGTTTGTGTACATCAGAATGCTGAGTTCTTGGTAAGTTCATATTTCAACAGTCTTCTGAAAATGCTTAGAAGACCAGTTAGTACACTTTATCAGAAGCACTATGAGGAGGTTTATCTAGTACAATCGATATATTAGAAATTTTCAAATTCCTTTCAGGAGTTCATCAATTTCACAAAGCCTAAATCTTTTCTGAAAAGGTTGCTGTGTATGAAAGAGACTGAGGAGTTGTTTGTATGTCAGTATCAGAGAGAGATTTGGGTTTAAAGTTAAGTGTGCATGCATTTTAGAAAGTCAGTCCACATTTACTGTCAGCACATTATTTCAGTTTTAAGACTCTGTTTTCAAAAACGAAAAGATTTGTAAATAAGTATTATTCTAAACAGACTTAGATTCCTAATAAATTCTGTTTGGTCTAGTAATTGTTTTATTGCAGATATTTATATGACACCTGTCCTTTTAATGTCTGAGTTTATCATTGCTATATAGGACTTCAATAAAGACACACGTTAAATTAAATTCAGTATTTAAAATGTTGTCTTCATAAATGGCCAGCCAAATAGCTATCCAGTAGCATTTATGATCATTTCCGTTTCCATTGCTTGGTTTACACATTTTTTGGAAATTAAGAAATGTCTGTCACACATGTCATATCTCATTAATATATGAGCCTTTTTTTCCTTAAAATTTATAGCCTAATTCCTCGGTCTTTGTTGATAAGTGTCAGAATTGTTTCTGCACTAACGAAGTTAACGTCAGCACTCAACTGAATATCATCTCATGTGAACATATTCCATGCAACACATATTGTGAACCAGTAAGTGACAACTTAAAACAAAGAAAAAAAAAAACAAACAAAATACACATGTACATGAAAAGCAGTTTGATCAATGAGTGGTACAAGCAAAAGACAGGGAGCAGAAACCCAGAGTCCAACTCCAGCATAGATACCAACTGTCCTTGAGCAATCTATTGCGTGAAGCTTGACTGTGTAACTTACAGTATTCAGTTCACATTGGGAGGATTAGCTGGGAAATTTCTGTAGAGCACTTAATGGAGTGATATTTAATTATTAGGCATATTTATTATAGCGCTTTAATTTATTCCATCTATAGTCTGCTTTTATTACTTGTCTTCCATTGGGTTGGAACACAGAAAGGCACCAATCTAGAGTGCACTTCAAAGCATAATCAATTAATGGGTTAGTATGTTTTCATTTATTTCTCAAAAATGCATCTATCATAGTGCTTTCATTTTTAATTAATTTTAATATCTAGGGATATGAACATCAACCAGTGAAAGGTGAATGTTGTGGAAGATGTGTGCAGACTAAGTGTGTTATACATACAGCAAACAATTCTGACCTCATCTTGAGTGTAAGTATGCTTTACATCTTACGTCTCTACCAAGTTTGTAAAGTTCCCCCTTTCAGAGAGGGAACCTCTCCTTCTCAGAGATAAGGCTTAGTGGAAGTCTGCACCTGAAAGGTCAGAGGCTCACCTAAAGCAAAGCCTATCTACAATTTTTTGGCCTGAAGGAAGGACTCATGAAATAAAATTTTCTGGAAGGCTTTTCCTGGAATGACAAATCCAATACCATTGGAAGGGTTTTTCTTGTGATGTCTGGAAGCTTGGGCTTTTCTGTATTATTTGATTTCTGTGTACTGAAAAACACTAGTAAAGCCTGCATGTGAAACAATTTTATTGCCCCTGTAGGGTGAAAGTTTAGGATTGTTCTTAATTACCATATAACAGTTTAGCTTTCCCTAGGCAAAATCCATTGGCATGGATGTTTTTGTTAATAATTCTAATGTACTCTGCATACTTTAGACAGATTTTTCTTTTCCAAGGGAAACCCCATGTAAAACTGAAGATTCTCTCCACATATGGCATGCTGCAATACGTGTAATAATCTGTATCCGAAACAGCTGTTAACCTAAAAGTAATTGACTGGGAAACAAGAGGAAAGTCATTGTCAGAGGACAGGAAAATTTTTGTCTGAACTCCCTTCAGCTTTCCTTATTACATTTTGTATTTTGCTTGCAGCCTGGAGAGTTTAAAAGTGATCCTTACAACAACTGCACCATTTATAGCTGTGTAAATATCCATAACCAACTTCTCTCTTCCACATCTGAGATTACCTGCCCAGCATTCAATGAGGAGAACTGCAAACCTGTAAGTAAATATGAAAAACTTACCCTCTACTCAATGCATGGATTACTTCAGTTTAGTTCAGCCACCTAACTAGCAACAAAAGTCAAATTAAGCTCTGATGACCTTTCACCAAAGTTTTTCAGTCCCAAGGGCAAAAGTTTCTGCTGCATCCATGCACAGACCTATAGATTGTATAAAATAACATATCTGGGTGAGAGTTCAAGGCTTATAACTGGCAGCTGTCTCTCAGTAGCCAAAACACTGGTCAGCACTGAGATGCAAAGTCCTCACTGACTGCTTTGTGCAGGGTCCTGTCTGAACAAGAACCATGTTTTCTTGAATGTTACAGAAACAGAAGCTGTTCAGTCAGTAGGCTGCCAGTAACACCATGCATACTCCCCATTCAAATATAGAAGTCTCTGAGAAAACATTTTTTGGAATTGTTTCTGAGGAAAAATTTCATGATGTTAACTGTAGACTTCCTTCAAAACATTTTCTTTATTTCCGCAGTCCTTTGTAAATTGATAGATTTCAAGTCTGGAAGAGACCATTATCTTTGTTTATTCAGATCAATGCTACAGTTTTCACTGGTTATTTCCAGCCATTGAGGAATTGTTCTCCTCAGGTATTGGCCTAAAAGCCTCTTTAATACAGGGAAAGAAAATAATATTATTTTTCCTGTTTCTTTGTTCTTTTAGGGAACTATTACATTCTTACCTAACGGTTGTTGCAAAACCTGTAAGTATGCCGGTGTACCTGAATCAACAATACTGAGAATGAATTTTATTCTTAAATCAATCCATTTTCCAGCCATAGAGGCTGATATGTTTGTATTTAAATAGATACTTTAATATTTATGTTTGTTATTCCAAGCATTCACTGTCCGATCTCTCTGGGAAAGTCTAAACTGAAGCAGGAATTCCACTTAAGACAATTCTTTGAGTGCACTAGTGAAGCCCAGAGAGTGCTGAACTGCGAGGAACTTCTGGAGCTATTTCACTGAAAGTATTTTTT